ACACTCATTCAGGCTGCTGAATGATGTGGCAGGGTAGGGTCATCTCTGCAGGCCCCCATCCATCACACACACAGACACACACATTGATGTGAATGTGCACAAACACATTGAGCTGAGGGGATCTGTACTGTGTCAGCCACTTTATTAGGGTGTGTGTGTGTGTGTGTGTATTTTTTAGGGGCCTCACAACTGGAAACAGACTCTTTTCCAGAAAGGATACACACTCTCTCTCACACACACTCCTTTATTTCTTGTTAGTCGTCCTGCACCTTAATTTGCAACACCTCTAACAACCGGCTCGTCAGTCCACTTCACAGCCACTCAATCTGTCACTGTCATCCCTCTGTTTCCATGACCAGCTTGCTCTTTCACTTGAAACTGAGAGTGTGTATGCATGTGTGTGTGTGTGTGTATGATTATGTGTGTGTTTGAGATAGACAGAAAGAGATTTTTTTTTTACTTTATCATTGTCTACAACCATTCTGCTATTGTGTCTTTTATGTACATAACAGTGTAGAGTAATGTGTGTACCACTGCAGAAACAGAACATTTTCACGAGTTCTGCTCTTCTACATGAGGAGCTGTCATTCCAGACTGCCCCCTAGTGTTGATAGGAAGAACTTCCTCGTCAGTTCCTGCTCTTCCTCTCTGCCTTTCTAAACATTTTCAGATAACTTTTCACATCTGAAAGTGGGAAATTCAATTTAAAAAATCTTACAGCTCAATGCTTTTTAATAATTCTCTATTTATTTATTTTTTGGCTACATCTAAATAGGACCTTTTTTCATAAAGGGAAAAGACATTGATGAATGAATGAAACACGTTTCACCAAATGAATACCGTTTTAGCTGGTTGATAGCTGCAACATGGGTGTTTTTGTTAATTGATGATTGGGTCCGTACTTCATACAATCGGCTCTGTACACTACAGATTTTGTCATCAACCTGGGGTGAGATCTAACCTGGTACTGGTGGTGAAGGCCTACTGTACTATCTACTGAGCCACAGTCACCACGGAGACATTGTTGACAATTTCTCCACATTCTTCAATTCTTCAAGAAAGAGTCAAAATAACTGACCACTACTGAAGTACAGTAGAAGGAACTAGACCCTCACACCTCTGCTGAAATAAAGATACAGACACTTCATGATAAAATTAACAGATTTTTTTTTTTTTTTTTTTTTTTGAGTAAGTTAGAAGACAAACAGGATCAGGCTACAAACCCTTTCTCTCTCACACAAAGTCCACAAATACATTCAAGGGTGTGTTCACACATCAAAACCCCAGGGCAGCATTACAAAGCACTAAGATCACACTTCCTAAAAATATTCCCTCGGAGACGTACAGTACCGTTGCCGTTTTACATGCTGTACGTCTGCCTCTATCTCCAGCTCACATCAAAATCACAATCACCGCGGCGCTCCCAGCTGCCATTTCCATTTTTTGCCCTCCGTCTAACAGAAAATAATATGTACCTTGTCACTGACGTCTACCCGTACAAGCAACTTTCCTCTGCTAATTCAGCCCTGCGCGCCACACACATCCGTCAGATATAACTGGCGGCGGGGAGGGCATGCCGAGACATCCATTAAAGGTTCCTAGCTGTCAAAGGTTCCCCTTTGTGTTGTGAGGAGCAGTACAAGTGTCGTGCTCTTATCAGAGCTTCCTGTGGAGTTTGCCCTGCATCCTGTCCACTCAGAAGAGCTTCTCTTTCACTGAACTCTCATTGTGTCTGTGCCTTGTGTGTGTGTGTGTGTGTGTGTGAGTGTCTGCACCTGTGTATATTGTGTGTACCTAGGCCTGAATTGCCATCTGACACAGTCTAATAAAGCAACACCAGCTCAGTCTGCATCTGTAAATCACCGTTGCAAGTGGGAATTGTCAGAAAATGACAATGTTTCTCTTCTGCGATTACACAAGAAGTGACAAGAATGTTTGTACCAATTTTTTTGTCAGAGTTTCCTATTTGATCAGTGGAGTTATGCCAAATGTGGGCTCTCCTGGTTATAATGACATTCATATATTAGTCTTTGTTGGATCCATCCTTGATAATTAGTACATAATTATCATAATATATTTATTTAATATGAATCACATTAATAGACTGTCTTCTGTAAATAAGAATAATAGAAAATCTGTAAATATTTCGACTCCTGCATGATATCTCACAAAGGGCAAATTGTTATTTTTTATATAAAGCCACACATAGTAATTTCAGTAGGTTTATATGTTTAAATATATATTTAATTTATCACATCCCTTCCACTCTAAAATAAACCTTTGATTTTTATATTGCTATAATGGAAGCTGAGCATCAGTTTTGTCCATTTATCTTTTTTTTTTCAATTGCATATAATACAGTATGAACTGTAACACCAGCGATTATCATTGATAGACAAAAAAAAGAGATCATTTACAAAAACCAGGAAGCCTTTACTCAGAAAATGAATAAACAGTTGAACATAAACAGTCTTGAAAAGACATGCTAACAATGATTCGATGATGTGCCTAATTGAACAGACTGGGAGGAGTGAGTGACTAGACAAATGAGCTATGACAGGTTAATGAATGAGGAGACTCTCAGGGATGGCACACGGTACAACCCTGACATGTTTCAGTGTCATCTGAGGAAGCAGAGACGGAGGAGAATTTTCAGTAGTCAGGTTGGCTTTCGTTTTCTCCAAAGCCTTTAACACGTGTAGCTGATGGTTTCCAGTCGGGTCCTCCTCGCCCTCATGACGTAGTGAGAAAAAGGGGGAGAAAGATTGAGGGAGAAAAGGAGGGAGCAATGAAAAAGAAAGGTAAATAAACAAACAATCAGCCGTGGGCTTGTTCTGGCTCTACGTCTCTGTTGCACCTCATTTGAAGCCTTATAAATCAGGCTTCCACCCGGAGACAGGGTGTTAGCAGGCCTCCCAGACAACACACACACACATCCACCTACTCCACACACACACACACAGACACACACTCAGGTCTGCTGCTCATTAAGCCTACAATCAGACTTTCAGCTGTGTTTTGGGAGAACATGAGCAATGTGTGTGAATACTTCTGCTCAATATGTTTGGATTTGCAAATATTTGAAGTCAAATTCATGAATGTGTGTTTTCTGTTGTTTGTTGGCGATATCTACATAAAATTAAATTCCATGTGTTTTCACCTGGTTTACACAGTGAAAACTCTGAAATCTTTCTGTGCTGAGTTGTTTTAACTGAACTGTAATTTTTCAGCATAAAACTGTGTATTATAACATAGAAACAGGGATTAGCTCTATGCTTTAGAAGGCCACAGTATCCTTCAAGTATATGATGGCAGATTTAAAAATTACTATTGTATTTAACACAAAAATTGATTTACAATTAGTTGGCAAAATACATGAATGTAAGCTGAACTGTCCAATAGGATCCTGGGTATAGATAATATTTCTGTCTGCCTTTTTTTTTATTTGCTGCCACTTAATGGTGCGTTTTCTACTAAATAGGATCAAATTTACATGGTAAGCTACATTTTTTAAAAGAAAAATGTAAAACTTGTATTTAAAGCCATCATCTTTACATTTGTTTAGTACGTAAGCGTTTAGTACGAATATTTCCGTCTATGATCCTGCTTTATCAGTGGATGTTACAACTGTGTTAGCTTCTGTGTAACTCCTGGATATGTAGGTAAGCAGCAGCTACTGTTTTATATCATGCACGAAGTTGGAGTGAGGACAAAGTATTTATAGTCAAAGCAGAACCAGGCTCTGCCGTTCTGTGGAGCAGACAGTCTGACTCACACCTCAGATCCAAAGTAGCTGATGTTGAATTAAACCAAGTGCACACACATTAGTGTAAAACAGTCACCACACACACAAGCACACAGCAGTTCCTCCACACCTCCAACCAGAACCTCTACGTATTTATATTTACTCTCCAAACTTTGCACCTGCACCTCCACCCACCTTCTGCACGCGTTCAGCTCACACGACTAGAACATGACCATTCACACTTTTACAAGCTGAAAAACAAAACACTACAGCTTGCGACATCTAGAAAGGCTGCCACTAAGAAAGGTTTGCAAACTTTGCACGTCTAAAAATGTCAGCTGGCAGCTTGGTTCTTCTCCGTCACACCTTCACTTCCCTCAGCAGACATTTGACTGTGATTGGGAGCACGGGGAGCCAGGCTGGAGGTCAGTGCAGAACCTCCGCCTGGCTGATTGGGAGTTGTAATTAGAGCGGTTGTTCTGTCCCAGGCCTGTTTTTTCCCCAGAGGAATCACACGGGTTCAGTATCACATACAGCACTGAAGGGAAACTGAAACTTCTACCCCAGCCTGGTGCAGAGGGGGGTTAACAAAGGGGATTTGAGCAGGGAAACCCAAATGTCTCCTCAGCACCACACACTTCTACAACAGACTCAGAGTGTGCACTAAATTAGTCTATCAAATTCAAAAATATGTCTAAAAGAACAAGTGTTTATGAAGCAGAAAGTAAAGACTTTCCTCCACACGTCCTCCTCCTCCTTCACCTCCTTCAGTTTTATCCACATCCTCTTTCATCCTCCGTGGATGTGAGTAATGTGAAACCTGCCCTCAGAGTCTCCGGGGGCTGTAGGGGGTTACAAAAGGTGATCAGTATGTGGCAGAGAAAGTCTTTAGCCAAGTGAAAGAAGCCACGGTTAGTCTACTGCCTCCTCTTTTTGTTACCTCCTTTTGCTCCTTTTCTCCTCTACTTGTCAGGACTGACAAGGTTAGCTGGCCCTAACACCCACTGACATTTTGCCTCTGCGTGTCTTCAGGTTGACTGACATCACACTCCTGGCACTGCCAGTCCTCCGCTGTGATGTGCCCGTTTCAAATGTCACAGTTTTCGCTTCCATGACATCTCTGTGGAAAATAATAAAAAATGTCATTCTGAGAATCAGTTCAAATGATTCGGCGGTTGACAAACAGCCTGTTGTTTGTCATAAATATTTTTCAGCCTGTTTTGTTTTTCTAATGCTGCCTGTCTTTCTCCAACAGGTGGTGGACGACATGGGAGACGTCAAGTTTTCTCTGGACACGGACGCCGCTAGCAACAGCTGGCTCAAATACGTCCGCTGTGCTCCGTCATTTGAGGAGCAGAACCTCGCCGCCTGTCACCTCACAGGAGACCAGGTGAGTGATGTGACTGAGGTGTCCTGGTGGGGTTTGATGAAAAAAAGATTTAAAGGGATAGTTTTGTTAAGAGGAGAAGCCTCTGTTGTCCCTTTTATTCAGCAGGCAAAAATGACTTTTTATTTTTTAAATGTAAGCTTCCATACAGGTCGGCACGAGGTCATAAAATTAACTTTTGGGATGTTCCTTAGTAGATTAACTGGTCAATGGTTTAAGGACAGTTTATACACTCAGTATAAAGGATCATCCATCAAGGCTTTGGTCTGTTAAACTGGAGGGTGTAATATTTCTGTTAATCAGGTGATGGTTTTTGGCATTTTGGTCAACACCTTGTCACCTTTGAATAAAGAATAAAACAACGTTTATAGAAAAACATTGTTTGTTTTCAAGAGTTTAACTGAAAGCTGTTATCGGAGCTTTATTGATGCTCCGGGGCGCAGGTCTTACAGAGAGCAACCCAAACACTTAGAGACTTAGAGGCTTAGAGAGAACGTCTGTAGAGAGCGTTTGTAAGTAAGATGTTCAATATAATAGAAAATTAACAATTTTTGTAATTTAAATACTTTGCAGTACTAAGATACAAACAACAAGTACAAATCTAAAGTTTTTTATTTGACTTTGTTACACCACTGTGGAATGGAATCTGTAAACTTGACGGTAACAATAACCACATACCCCAATGACCCATCAGCGGGCTCTGACCCAGTCTTTGGGAATGGCTACGTGAGGAGTGATGTGTGAGAACGTGTGTGTGTAAGCTTCCACGTATTTGTGTGTGTGCGCGTTTGTTTGTGTTTACCATTGTGACAGCAAAATGTGTGTGCGGGTAATGACCAAGGAATGGCTCCATTGTGTGTCTGTGGTTTGGCTGGTTGCCAGCGCTGTTAGGAAATGGTCCATGTAAAGAGGCTGAAGAATAGCATGACACTCCTGAGATGCATAATAACCATTATCCAAGGCATAATCTTCCTCTGTGGAAATGAGCGCTCTCTCTCCCTCTCTCTCTCTTTCTCTGAGTTTTTTTCCGAACAAACACACTCAGGACATCAAAAAACTTTGGGGAAGATTCCCAGCCTGTTCCCATTAAAACAGTTCAATTAACTTAACTGGACCCTAACCTCAACCTTTTGTGCTACATTTTACTGCTCCAACATACAGTATGTGAGAAATACAGTCACATACATCTGTATTAGCTTGTTAGTGTTTGTTCTGCAGGAGTTGTGTTTTTCTGTCAAAGAAATCCTGCCATGAGAGTTTCTCACTTACTGTACTTGACAAAGAGAAGTCCTGAGAAAAGAGCTGAAGATTGTAATCAGTCAGGGCTGTGTGCTACACTGTATGTTAATGCAGAGTAAGAAGAAGGCCTAAAATCATTTGATTTAAACCTCATTAATTTAAAGATAAATCACTAGTAACAGGTTGTCTTAAGCACAACTTTAGATATTTTTATGTGATACAGGGGCATTTTATGAAAAATATGATGTAACCAATAAAATTGCAAATCCAAAAGTTCTAAAAGAGATGCAATAATTCAGAAAAATCTAATTTTTTAACCAAACTCACCAGTGTTGACTAGAAACCAGTGAAGCTTTGCTAGCAGGTGTTGATCTACGTCTCTTTTCCCAAAGCTGAGATAACTGAGCTGAGATATTTGAACAGAATTCAGGGGGAGACACCCGCCTCCAAAACTCTACAAATGAGCAATACTCTGATAGAAACAGCAGAGAAACAGATTCAAATTTTACACCTTTTGTCAAAAAGTAGCAGTGAGTTAGAAAAGGTCACGCTAAAGACCTGACATGAGAAGTGAAGGCGGTCCGACAGTAACCAAATGCATCCATGTGACCTGCCTGTGTGTTTCCACATTCCTGTCACTCCACTCTTTTGTTGCCTAATCCCTGTCTACATGACTCTATCTTTACCCCACGTCTCCAACTCTGGCCGTCTATTCTCCAACGTCTTTGTCCTCTTCTCCAGATCAGCCACCTGTCACTCCGTGACACCAAGGCTAACGTACAGGCTAGTGTGTGTCCATTTAACTCGTAGGCCCGACCAATAGAAACAGAAAGAGAGAGAGAGAGAGAGAGAGAAGAGCTTGGACCTTGCACACACACACACACACACACAGGGGCCTCTTAGATTGACAAGCAGCAATTGGCTGGCAACACCAACCTGCTTAATCCTTTTAAGATTTTCACATCAGTGCCTCCTGCCACTGTCAAAGAAAAGATTCAGGGCACCGGTGAAAATGGTGGAGAATTATTGGAGACACAGGAACCAAATGCACCGCTTCTGTTTGGTGTATTTTATTGATATCGTGTGTGTGCATGTGTGTGTGTGTGTGTGAGCACATGGGCGTTGCTTT